GTGAGGAGAGAAAGGCATTTCATTATTATCCCTGATTTGGTCTGAAGATGCAGTTCCTGGGTAATGAAATGAGAAGAGAGACAGAGTGAACTCCAAATAATTGTCATTAGGAAAGATTAGTTAAATCTAATTGTGGCTTTTCCTCACTCAGTGAAATAAAAAAGGCAAAGGCAGATTAAGCAAAATGCTGTAGGGACTAACTCTTGACCTGTTTTGGAAAACATATTCTTCCCACCAAAATATATATCAGAATATATGTTCGTGTCATACTTACTAACAAAATAGTTGAGTCATACAAATAAAATTCTTTCTATAGTTATGTAAAATAATCTTGCTCCATTCTAAAACTTGATTCTGGAATTCATAAATTATGGTTATTCCTTGCTGTCATTTTAATTTTTATTCTGGACCATGCCCCCATCATGCTAGGGCAATGGTCCCCAACCCTCTACTACTGGGAAAGTGTTATAGCATTGCAACAGGAAAATGGAGTTAAAATTGAAGATGTCAGGAAGAACAAGACAGTAGCATTAGCTATAGGCCAGCAAAGCTCGGGAACTGCTGTGCTAGGTGCTGCACAAAAGTCTCTGCCCTGAAAATCTGCAGTCGAATAAATTAAATCTTACGGTGAACACCAAGAGATAAGGACCAATTGGTAACCAATGGTTAGAAAGCAGAAGTGTGGCAGGACAACCGCAACGTATAGGTCAGTGCACGGTGCCGTGGTGCCAATCTCACTGGCATGATTAGTTGCTCAGGTGGTAGCAGATATTTTTGCGCTCCCTCCCTCCTGCACCCGCAAGGCAGTGCCAGTGGCTGCCACCCTGATATACCCTCCTCAGTTGTGCTGCTGTGAGAAAGTGTATTTTTGAGGCATCTTCAGAAAGGTCGAAAGAGCTGGGAAGTGAGCTTGGTAGAAGAAATAACTTGACATCAGCAATATGCATGAATGCTGTTGGGCTCTAACATGGCTCACATGTGATATTGCTCTGAAAGACATCGTTTAGAAAGCAGGTGGGTTTTTCAAAAGTCAAATTGAATCCCTCCGTGTGCCCCTTCATGCTCTTTCCTGCAGCCCTGCCACTTCTGCATCCCTCTTCTCCAGGTCCTCTCATTTTCCTCTGTATCCTGTTGAGCAAAACCTCTTTCAATACAACCCCACCCCAAATATTAAAAACAAAAGAAAAATGGTGGTGTTGAACGGATGCTTGCAAATCATCACTCTGCTTCCTCCAGTTTCATGGTCTCTCTCTTTCCCTCATCCTTTATCTGCTTTGTCCATATGTAAGCTCATTGGGACTGAAACCATTCATAACCCTACAGTTATACTGGGTGCATTTACACATGCACTTTACTGAGGAGTAGACTAATTAGATGCGCAGTAAAGCTTCACTGTCTATACGTGTGGTGGTATCTGGCTACAGCAAACTAATTAACTCCAGTACTGTTGGGGATAGTACTGTCTTACAGTGGAGTAATTAAATGCGATTAAACACATGTGTAGATGCTCACCGCGGGCGCAAATTGTCCCCGGTCAGCACAGGCAGCAGGGGTCTGGCCTCCTGCCTGCTGCTTAGCCACATGGCTCTGCAGGTTCAGCCCCCTCATGCCCCAGCCAGCCCCTCTGCTGCCTTCCACCACCACCCGGAGCAGGAGGAGCAGCCCTGGCATAAACGGCTTCACCCCGGTTCAAATTGCTGCTGTCCCAGGCATGTGTAGATGCTGTGCCCAGGAGTACTTTACTCTGGTTCAAACTGCTCTGGAGTCTATTGCTTCACATTAATTGCATGTGCTGGCGCACCCACAGTGCCTCACTGCATTAGGACCCCATGCCTGGTCTGTCCTTAGGCACTACCACAGGAAGCATAATACGTAACAGTGACATGCACCAGGTCTTTCCCGGGTCCAAAATAAATAAACAAGCAAGAAAGAGAAGCTAAAAGTATAAGGGGGATTTAATGGGATTTGGGTACCTACCTCCCCTAGGCTCCTTTGAAAATCCCAGCCTAAAGCAAGAGATTTGTATTTGTGCATTTCTACCTCCTCTGTCGGGGATAATGACTGCCAAATTAGTTTAAATATCTCTCTTATTGCTCTTGGTTTTGTTTGTTTGTTTTCCTGCAATGGTTTTTGGGTTTTTTTCCTTGAAAAATTAATAAAGGAAGATTCTTTTAAAAAGAGAAAGGAAAGAAAGAAGCAAAAGATAAAATCAGAGGGAGAAAAATACAATAAATGTTCATCCTATTTAAATCCACAGCTGCTGAGTGAAAAAGGAAAGCTGTTTTAAATGAAGGGCCCGCCTGGAAAATCAGTTTTCTGTGTCCTCGGCTGTGTCACGAGCACTCCAGGGGCAAGTTTTAGGGTGGTGCTATGTGAAAGCACTTGAACACCTATGCTTAATTTAAGCACAGGGTTCAATTCCATCAACTCCAATGGAATATAAAAATGCGCTGAAACTTAAGCACGTGCTTGTTTGAGTCTTGTGAGGAACAGAGCTGAGTTCATGTATGTGCTAAATATCTGCTAAAGTGGGTTGATGAAGAGGATGGATTTGATCATGCGTCTGAAGTTTAGCAAGAGCTCTGCTTAACCGGTGCCTCGGCAGAGCTTCATGAAAAAGCCCAGTAGTCACAGTAATGTATGCTGGGCGCTCTCAAATGGGCTTTGGAAAAAGGAGCTTGCCTGCACAAGTTACTGAGGCCTCAAAAAACGTTATTCCTAGGGCTGCCAGAAAACTAATCTAATTCCAACCCATTGAAAACAGAGCTGTATTCAAAAGAGACACAAATCACCCAAACCTTGTGGATGCTCTAGTTCAGGATTAGACCGAGGCGTCACACACAAGTGTCCATCTGTCCAATTCTGGTTTGTCCATAATCATATTTTTTGACTCCCAGCCTCCTTGGGAAATGCCATTTACAGGGTAGTTCAGGCTCGGGGCTGACACCGAAATCTAGTACAGAGTTTTGTCCCTGTGGCATCAATTTATCAGGCTTGAGAAGTTAGGGTAAGTCAAATGAGAGCAGAAATGCCTTCTAGAAGTTAAAAGCACAGTATTAGGATTGACTTAGAATTTGACCCTTTGTCTGTGAAAGACTTGTTTTCTGTGACCTTAGGCACATTCACATATTGCCAGAATTTTTACATGTGGAGGCCCAATGTACTTAAATCCACGTTCACAGAAGTGGTCTGATTTTCAACCGGGCTGGGTCAGTGTCTGCCAGTCCCATTCTGGTCTGTGGGAGCAGTTGGCACTCAGTTATCTGAAGCTTTCGAAGAAGATGCAAGCCCTTCACATCAGGCAGTCGTGCGAACGCTCAGAAATGCAGACAGCAGTCCGAATAACATAAAAACGGAGCGTGTTATTAATGCTGTCAATTTAGCCAAGAATGTTATGGCATGTGTGTCACTAAGAGAGACAGAAACTATTATTGAAATGAGATTAGAATCGTTTTGAAACATCAACAGCGGCATTTTAGTTGGTAACATTTCCATCTAAAATAGATGACAATGATGCTATACAATCAACAATGCCCCTGGGAATAGGATATAGAACAGAAGACTAGATTGTTTTACTCTGTATTGATTTTCCCTTAGTAGTTTTTGATTAACTGTCAAATCAATTAGCTTCCCCCACCCAAACACAAGATCAGATTGCTATATTTTTGGTCTGCTTATATCCTCTCTGCTCAGTAACAAACAAACAAGAAAAACCCAGACCCAACTGCTTAAAATATGTTCGGAAAGGAGGTATTACAGATAGAGATAAGCCCAGTATCGATAGCCTGCTTCTCTTCATAGAGCTGGAGTCCAGCCATGTTTTTATTGAATCAGGTTCTGAAGCTGTCTGAGGCACTAAGAGATCTGATTATAGCCTTGCCATAATGTCCTTTTAAAAGAAAATACATGGCATTTCAGGGTGACATAATGTTCTTTTGACTCAGGAGAGACAGAGTGTCTAGGAGTTTTCAAACACCCTGACCTTCCTGTATTGCTTATTCATCGATGTGGGGCATCTATACAGTCCCCATATATCTGAGCACTTGACAGTCTACAGCACATTTATCCCTTTCAACACCTTGTACAATAGGGGATTTTGCAGCTGGGGAGCTGAGGCTCAGAGTGAGAGATGAGGCAAGACACAAAGTCCAGCACATCCCAACAGCCAGGTCATCTCGCCTCAAGTACGCTTGTCTGGTGGAAAGAGCGAAGTAGCCTGGAAGAGTGGGCTTAGTCTGAGAACAGGCAGAATAAAAAATTAGATTCCAGGGTCTGACTACAGCTTGACCACCTTCCAGCTGGCCTCGGGCATGTCACTTGACCACTTCAATCACAAAAGAGTGTCAAGATCCCTAATTTCAGGCCTAGCCCTGCACACGTTTGGATGCGCAGAAGTCCTACTGGTGTTAGAAGAAGTTCTGCACATGGGTGGATATAGGATCGGGCCCTTACATGGGGCAAATTACTGCCAGGTCACCGGATAAATGGCAACATGTAGACATGCCAAGTATTTATGCCACCAGAAAGTTTTGCCAGTGCTAGTGGTGGTTAGAGGCGTGATTTTTGGTGACATTTCTAACTCCAAGGTATAGATGTGGTTAGATCAACCGACAATTTTAGCCAGTGTAAGTTATTTAGTTCAAGAAACCTGTATAAACTATACCAGCAGCAAAAGTACAGTTTTTGCCAATATGAGCTTTGTCTACAGAGGAGGGTTTGCCATCTTTTCCTAGAGTTGAGATGCCTTCAGACCTTGCAAGAGAGAGACTTAAGCTGGGAAGTTCAATTCAAGACCGAATCCAGCTGGGAACTTTTCAAGAGCTCAGAAATTTCTGCACCTGATCTGTTGTTCGGCTCATATTCCCCTATATCGTCCCCCCACCTCCCTCCCACCGCTTTTTTCTCTAAAGATGATTATGTTAAGTTTTAAGAATTAAAAAGACTCATAAGGACCCTGATGTATCCAACATTAACATCCGAAAACCATAAGGACAAATAAAGAGGATAATGTACATTATTATTTGCAGGAGCAGTACCTACAGGTCCCAACACATATGAGGGACCCTAGCATTAGGCTGCACATACACATAGCAAGACACCGCCCCAGCTGTGATGTCCATTTTATTTGGATGTGGCAGAAGGAGAAAAAGAGGTGATGTGACTTGCCCAAAGTCATACAGCAGATAAGGGCTGGGATGGATCCAAGCTGCATACATACGATAAACAGCAACTAGCAGCAAATGCATATCGAGCCCCATCAAAATAATGTGAAAGCATTTCAGTTTTGCCCACTCCCCAGTGTTTCCTGGTCTCCTCCTGGGGGGAAGGCATCTTCATCTGTTCAAGTCAAAGCTGCCCCAGTGCTAGGTGGAGGGAGCCATAGCAAACCAGCTGCTGCTACCACGCAGGCAGCCAAGATTCGCATTTGTTTTGGCTAGCGCTGAGGAATCGGCTCAGGCATCTTTGAGAACAAAATGGTGCATGGGAACAAGTCCAAGCTGTAACAGATAAGAAGCAATAAGAGTCGCAACAGATTATTTGTCTGGTAAAACAGAAGGAGAATTCTAGTGAAAAACCTGGAGGATTCTGGTCCAGTCCTGCAAACATAAGTTCTGCTTGTGCAATGCCAGCTGATAGCCTCTTGGGCTGCACAACAGGTGTTCAGCTGCCGCTATTTCTGGAGAATAATGAATTGCTGTTGCAGGAAAAAAAAAAAAAAAGATTTGTGAAAGCAAGTGGGTTTTGCACAACTTTAGAAAGGAGACAGCCTCCATTCTGCATTGCAGCTATTGGGACTGAGACAGGGACATAGCTGTTCAGAGAGCAGAGAAATCAGTAACTAATCATTATGATCCATTTGCTCTCACATAATGCAGAAAGGGAGGCTGGGGTTCATGGCCTAACCACAGACTTCCTGGCTTACCCAGAGCAAAACAATTGACATCTCAATATTTTCAAGCCCAAACCAAACTGGGCATAATCTTACAACCTACTTCGAAACCTGGTTAGACCAG